GCCAGGCCAGGAAACCTTGTTGAACGTGGAGGGGTGGGGGCTGAGGGCCCACCCCCAGCCTGTGGGGTGGAGGTTGCCAGGTCCCTTGGGGGTGCCAGCAGCTCCCCCTTGGGGTGGGAGCCCAGCTGGTGCTGGGTGGGTGACTGGTTCCCCCCGAGCAGAGCCCAGTGTAGAGGGTCCAGGGAGGGGACGCAGCCCACAGCCCCTCCTTCCCCTCGCCACTGCCCGGGAGTCCCCGGGGCAGCTTGGGGCTTTCCTTGGGGTAGTTTGTGATGCTGGGCCTTGAGTCTCACAGGACATGTCCCCACTGTTCCCTCCACATGTCACCCTCCTGCGGCCTTCTCCTGGCCAGGTCTTCGGGGACAGGTCATCTGGTTTCTTGGGGCCTGTTTTTCGGTTTCTCTTCCCTGTTGGACATGGAGCTGGGGGCCTGCAGGGTCCCTGGCCGGGGGTCCCCGTGCTGCAGTGGAAGGGCTCGGCTGCCAGCACGTGGACGGTGGGGAGGCCTGGGGCGTGAAGGGGAGCTGGTGCCTGCTTGCCCGGGTTGGTCAGATGCTCAGGTAGGCATGGGTGTGGCCTCATCGTCAAGGTCAGACCCACTTGCCGCCCAGCCACACTGGGTCCCCTGAGGTCCCTGGGAATCCCTGCCCCTCCCAGGCCTCCTTCCTGCCCCCACTACTCAGGATGGCCTCCCTGCTCTGGGCGACGGTAACACCTGCCCTCTTCTTTTCCCAGCTGGCTGGAGGCGTGATCCTGGGTGTGGCCCTGTGGCTCCGCCATGACCCCCAGACCACCAACCTCCTCTACCTGGAGCTGGGAGACAGGCCTGCACCCAACACCTTCTACGTAGGTGAGTTCACCTGGGCCGCCTGCTCCGGGCTGGGCCAGCATGGATGGTCACATGCTCAGTGAAGCCACAGACAGGCAATCAGGGAGGGCTTCCAGGAGGAGGCAGGGCCTGAGTGGGCTTGCGGGGTGCTTGTGCGGGGCGGAGGCAACCAGGAAGGGTTCTCTGGGCAAGAGGGTGAGACGGAGCCAGAGAGCCTGTGGGGTTAGGTCAGCCTGGGGCCCCGAGGGCCTGGGTGAGGCACTGAGGCCTGGGCACCCCCACCTTCAGGTACAGAGAAAGCAGGAACTGTGAGGAGTGTGAGACTTGTTGGGCCACAGATCGCTGTGGGGGCTGAGCCAGAGCTGGAGGGCAGCCACTGAGGCGGGTGGGGGAGCTGTGTCATGTGGTGGGTATTTTGGGGGAGGCTCCCTGGGAATGGGTGAGGCCGGATGCCTGGGCAGCCAGACCAGCAGCTGAGGCAGCCGGAGCCAGAGCTGGAGCCGGAGCCTCAGGGATGGAGACTCGGGCTGCCGGGGGGAGGGTGGGGGCTGCCTGACTCAGGCCACCCCCTGCACACCTTGCTGCCTGATTAGGCTGCCTATTGGCCTGGTGGCCTCCCAGGGACACCAGCTTCTGTCAGGCGGGGCAATGGACCACCCGCCCACCCCATCCCAGGGGCAGCGGCGACCAGGCGCAGGGCCCACTGCGCAGAAGAGCACCCCCCTGGTGGGCCCCAGCCAGTGGGAGGCAGGCCCAGCCCTGTGGAGCCCTGGAAGTGTTTGCTGTAATGTTTCTGTCTTTTAAAGCAATGGCCCCTGGGCCCGCCCCTCTCGTCCATGTCCCCAAAGGCCTACCTGGGAAGTGGGTATGACCCCTTCGGGGTTCAGGGCTCAGCTGGGGCTGCCCCGGGCCTGGTGTAAGGCCTCTTTCCTCTGGGGGCCACACACTTGGGATATGCGCCCGGCTGCATGCTCACCATCCCAGAGGGGGTGCCTGTCTCCTCCCTGCCCACTGGCCTCTCTGAGCCGGAAGGAGAGGGCTGGGTTCCAGGGAGTGTGGCTCTGGCCGTGGTTTCCCTGGGCACAGCCATCCCTGGAGGGTCCTGAACCACCATCTACTGGTTCCCAGGCCCCCAGACAAGTCCCTTGCAGGCTGGTCCCGGGAGAAGCCTGCCTTTCGTGAGAGCGCACGCAGGGGCCACCAATCCTGGGCCATCCGCACAGGTGCCTGAGGACTCGGGGTGTCCCCTGGGCCCTTGAGGGCTGTTTCTCTGGGCGGGGGTGCTCCTTGTAGCCTCTCCTTCCCCCCTCCCAGGAGTCTAAGCCAGCAGCCACCAGGGAAGACCCAGCCTGTCCCTGTCCTTCTGCCCAAATGTATGAGGGCTGCTGCCACCCTGTCCTCTGCGTCCCCTTTCCAGGACCTGGGGTCCCATGGGAGATGGGCTTTGCTGGTGGCAGACTTGAGCCAGCCCTTGGGCAGGTGATCTGGGAAGGGGTCCCTCTCCTGGGGACAAGGCTGCCAAGCTGGAGGTCGGGCGTGGCTGGGGGGGACCTGAAGGATCACCTGTTTCAGGCCAGAGCTGGGCTCCGGGTCGGGCTGCAGTGGAGGGCTGGGGGTGGCATGGGAGGGCCGCGGCTGCTGTGGCCCTTGGCAGAAGGGCAGAGGCCTTGGGGTTATGCCCAGGCTGCAGTGGGGAAGTGGTCCTAGGAGGGAGACCTGGGGGGCAAAGCTGACTTTGGAGCAGGTATCCCACCAGGAAGGTGCTCCTCATGGGCGCGAGGCTGCACCCGACCCCCCTGCCCCTGCCCGCCTCTCCCAGCTGGGGACGCCTGCCCTGGGGCAGCAGCCTCAGCCCCTGGACTGCCTGCCGGGTCAGGCCGATACCCTCTGGACTTGGGCTTCTGCTGTGCCCTCCATGGGCCTCTTACAGCCCCTCTGGCTGTGGAGCCCCTGCCCGACCAGGACCAGCCTTGGCCTTTGGGAGCTTCCTGCCAGCCCTGATGCGGGCTGGGCCTGCGGGGGAGGCGGGGCAGGGCAGGCAGGCTTGGGCCCTCACAAGAGCTCTTTGTGCGAGGCCAGGATGAGGGGGTGGGTTAGCTGGGCGTGATCAGCACAGGGCAACCCTGCAGGCCTAGGTGAGTGCCCTCCTCACTTGGCAGAGCCAGGGGCAAGAGCTCCAGATGGGTCTCCAGCACTGGGGGGTGAGCCCTGGGGACTGTAGGCTGGGCATCTGCTCTGGGGTCTGCTGGCCCCTTGCAGGACCCTTCACAGCCCAGAACATGAGACTCCCTTCCCAGGCCCCCCTCGGCATCTCACTGAACCTCACATAGTGACCTGGGGCTGGGGGCCCTGGTGCCCCACCTCCCCTCACAAGTGGGGTGTCAGGGCCTGAGGGAGGGAGGCCTAGCTCGAGGGTGCTGAGGGCAGCTACGGCAGGAGGCTGCCCCTCGGCCAGCCCACTGGGTGCCTCCTGGGGGCTCTGTCCGGTCTGCGCCTTTTCTGAGCCCGGCGATGGGTCCTGAACTCCAGGCTCCCTCCCCTGGGCTGGCCAGGCCGGGACTGCGGGCCCTCGGCTGAGAGCTGGATTCCAGCTCTGGAGAGGGCTGGGGCTGCCCACCGGGTGCTGGGCCGGGGCTGCCAGGAGGGCTAGTGGCGGGGAGCTTCCTGGAGGGGCTCGGTCAGCGTTTCCCAAGGGCACAGGGCCTGTCTGGTGGGCCGAGGGCACCAAGCAGGGCTGCGTGGCCAGCCCGGAGCCTCTCGGGGCACAGTTCCCCTCCTCCCCACGCAGTCCTTTCTGCCTCCTCAGCTGCTCTGCCACCCCAGCCTCCGGGCCACCGTGCCCAGGGGGCTTCAGTCCCCGGGGG